CGGTTCGAACACCCCCCCCCCTCGAAAACCGAAGAGGGGGGCCACTACCAGTTCCCACCACCACTGTCCCACTGTCCCCACTGTCCCCACCACTGTCCCCACTGTACCTCTGTCCCATTGTCCCACCGCCGTCCTCGCCACCGCCTTCACCACTGTCCCCACCACCACTGTACCCTCCACTGTCCTACTGTTTCCACCACATTCCCACTGTCCCTACACCACTGTTTCCACCACCACCGTCCCCACCACTGTCCCACTGTCCCCACTGTTCCCGCAATTGTCCTCACCATTGTCCCCACCACTACCGTCCCCACCACTGTCCCACTGTCCCCACCACTGTTCCGCTGTCCCCTCACCACTGTCCCCACCACCACCGTCCCCACCACTGTCCGCACCCCCCCTTGGTTTTCGAGGGGGGGGGGGTTCGAACCGGTAGTGATCCCCCCCGGTTTTCGAGTTCGAGGGGGGGGGGGGTTCGAACCGGTAGTGACCCCCCCCCCTTTTCATGATGAACTGGGGGGGGGGGAAGGGGTTCAAACCGGTAGTGACCCCCCCCGGTTTTCCGGAGGGGGGGGGGGAGGGGTTCGAACCGGTAGAGACCCCCCCCAGTTTTCCGCCAGCAGCGGTAGAACACGCTCTTTCTCATATGGTTACAGTTGTGTTTCCACGTTCAATGTAGCTCAGAGGTGGTATCGTGCTTGCAGCTTGCATGCCTCCATTCTCTATGCTGCGTCCTGCGTCCTCCTCCTCCTCCTCGTGGCCCTCATCCATGCCCTTCTCCCAGAAACCAACACGCCGTGAGCAAAGAGACGCGACGGCCGCTCTCGCCCTGCCCTGGGGCCCCAGGGTCCGAGGGATCGACCTGGCTCGAGGGATCGAGCCCGCACGAAGAGGGAGTCGAAGGCTCCCGCCGCAACATCTATCTTCGCCCTCCTGCGGGTGGCCCAGGCGAAGCAGGCGCAGCAGCCGCAGAATAGACGCCTCCTAGATAGGGTCGGAACAGATGGGGTCTGAGGATCGCGCCACATCGCCGATACATCGGCGACGTTTCGGCGATGCATCGGCGATGCATCAGCTATGCACCGGCGATGCACCGGCGACGTCGGCGGTGCATCGGCGACGCAGGCGCAGAGAAAATCGGGCTCCACATCGAGCCGCATCGCCAATGCATCGGCGATGCGACGCGATCCGCCGACCCCACCTACTCGGACCCCATCTCGGAGGCCCAGACACTAGCCGCAGCGCCTCCCGCCACCGGCGGCCCTGCAGGCAGACCCCCATGGCCGAGTTGAGCGGCCCTACGCTGGTCGGGGCCGCACCCGAAGCGGAGACATCGTTAGGCGCCGCCGGGGGGCCCCAGCGCCGATCCGAGAAATCCGCGCGGACCTCCGAGTTTTATGTTTATGTCACTTTTTGTTCCGCCTAATCGTGGACGAAGGTCGCTGCCGGGTCCCGGCCACGCGGTGACCTTGAAATCCCAGGAGGCCTCACTGCGCGGTCCGTCGTCACCGCACGGTGCCCCTCAGCTTCTGCAGCGCCGGGGGCCCTCTCGGGAGCCCCATCCACGCCCTGCATCCCCTTGCTGTTGCGCGCCGCGGGCCGTTCCCTGAAAATCGTGCCCAGGGACGCGTCCCAGGGCGCGTCCTGACCAGGACTTCGAGGCGCACCCAGCCATGGCGACAGGACCCTCCAGGGCCCCCGGAAATGACAAAGGCACATCCAAGGTTCCTCTCCGACCTTCCCCACACTCTACCTCTTTCCCAATCCCTCGTCTTGAAGAAGAACTCGTCGTCCTCCTCCTCCAACTGCTCCTCCTCCTCCTCGTCCTCGTCCTCGTCCTCGTCCTCGTCCTCGTCCTCCTTCTCCTCCTCCTCCTCCTCCTCCTCCTGCTCTCCTCCTCCTCCTCCTCCTCCTCCTCCTCCTCCTCCTCCTCCTCCTCCTCCTCCTCCTCCTCCTCCTCCTCCTCCTCTGTCTCGCAGCACCAACCGTATCAGTAGGGCGACAGGACGCTTCTTCTGAGACTTCCTCACCGCTGATGACGAGAAATACTGATTGTCGAGAAATTACATGGATTGAGGGCGGATAATTATCACAACTTGGATGCCGCCTCAACGCCGCGCACTCTACCTATTCTGCAAACGTTCCGAACGGCTACAAGGATGGATGGGGAAAGCGTCTTTCTAAAGTTTGTCCAGATATACGCCGCGCACAAGTCGTATGGCACGCACCAATAATTAAATAGACGGCGGCTTTCGCGACGGCTTCATGGATCGAGGGCGGCCCCTTGTTCAACAAATGTTGCTCGCTTAAGACTTCCTCGAACTTACGCCCTAGATTTTCAACTTCTGCAAACATGCCGCGCGTGGATGGTGGCTCTTCTTCAACACGGAACTCTCGCTGGATACTTCCTGAAGCCCTCTGACGTGCCCCCTCCGAGCGCCTCAAAGCTGGAATGGTGTTCAGGGGTTGGCGGCGCGCAGAATGGAGAACAGGGGGAGGGGGGAAGGCTTCTTAGAGGGGGCCTGCTTCTGAGAAGGCGCAGGCCTTCCGTCACGGACGAGGTCCGCGGCTTCTGAGAGCCTGGGGTGCCTCTGAGCAGCCCTCCCCCCCGCCAACGGGGCGCTCGTCTCTCACGGGGGCGCGTCCTCGATGACGAAGACTGCTGCCCGGCGGGCCCTCTGCCGAAGGGACCCTGGGACGAGAGGGGGTGTCGCTCGGACCAGGGGGGGGGCCAAAGGGTATAGGGTAGAGAATCAGCTCACGCGGCTGGCTCTCCTGGCGCCGGGGGGCGCCGATGCGTCGACGAGTGGGCCCGGCGGCGGTGCGGAAACCGGAGCTGCAGGCAGGCGATGCCGTACCCTCCCCCTTTTCCCTGGCCTGCCCTTTCCAGCCCGATCGAAGGAGGGCCGATTGAGACAACCGCGGCCGCCCAACCCACATCCGCTCAAAGCTGGTGGCCGCACCTCGGGTCCATCCACCCGTTTCCCGAGGCGGATCCAGCCATGGCGACGAGAGGCCTCCAGGAGGCGTCCAACGTATGGAAAAGCCAGCGGGAGGGCCGCTGCTGTCTCGACTGGCCCCCCTGTGAGTTGCAGCAACGTTGATGCATTCTGGGTCTGACCTGGTCCTCCCCATCGTGCGCACCGCCGTTTTCGAGAGAGCCGATGGACCCCTTCCATCGATGTCCCCGCTTCTGGGGCCCCGAGCTGGACTGCACGGAAGCCCTCCGCATCTCCCCCAGCGCCCTCAGCGCCTCCGGGAGTCGACAAGAGAAATCCCTGGCCCAGTGGTTAGCCCAGGTTGCCCTGGGATGAAGCTGGTCGGCGCAGGCTAGGGATGGGTCAACAGAAATTGAGCGGGATGGTGCCGGATTAGGTCAGTTAGCGCGAGCGGATGTACCAGCGCCGATGCTGGTGTCCTCAGCGAGGGAGGCCCGGGCGGCCGCAAATGACTTCGACTCACGACCCCACAGCGCCGACCTCCTGCAGAGCAGACTCCTTCGAGCCTGCCGGCCGCTGCCCGCCCTGCGCCGGCGGAGCCGCCCTCGGCTCCCCCTCTCCGCCGCCCTCCGCGTGGCCGCCGCCGCCCCCCGCCGAGGAAGTGCCGTCGGCCGCGCCGCGCCGCTCCGAGGGCAGAGGCCCCTGCGGGAACGCCTCCCCTCGGCCGCCCCGCCTGGCGACCCGCCCTGCGCAGGAGGAGGAGGAGGAGGAAGAGGAGGAGGAGGAGGAGGAGGAGGAGGAGGAGGAGGAGGAGGAGGAGGAGGACGAGGAGGAGGGGGAGGAGGAGGAGGAGGAGGAGGAGGAGTGCCCGCGCCCCTTCGCGCCCTGCGCCGCGCCCCTGGAGGCGGGCAGGTCTCTGGCCCGGACCGTGGCGCGCGGTGGCCCTTCGCGCTCGCGTGGGCGGCCCCGTGCACCCGGAGAGGAGGGCGAGGAGGAGGGCCATGGGCTGCGTTGCGCGCAGGCCCTCCCCCGACTGTGCCCAAGGGCCTTCAGCGCCTCTTCGGGCGGCCACGGCAGACATTCGGGAAGGGAGGAGGAGGAGGAGGAGGAGGAGGAGGAGGAGGAGGAGGAGGAGATGACCCACCACGCGCCCCGCACAAGGGCAAACAGCTTCGGGGCGATTGCCATCGAACCGACCTGCGGTATGCCCACACATCCAAAGCTGGAGGGGGGGGGGGAGGAGCAAGCTGAAGGAGAGGGAGGCGGATGTGGGGACGGATAGGGGCCTGAACGCCAGTCCTAAGGTAATGATGTTTTGCAGGCATTGGTGTTGATGTGCACATTCGTCAACGCATGATCGAGCTCGTCCGTGCTGTGAACTCCACACCTGCAGAGCAAATGTCTGACACCTCCCCATGTTGGGGCATGGCCCATGTGAGAGATGTGTCGGACCGAGACGGGTACGGCACTAGAACGGCGCCCACTGGGGGCACGGTCAATGTGAACAGCGTGCAGAGTTGAGGCAAGCGGCGAGGGATCCCCAAGAAAAATGCCCCCCCCTCCCCTCACCACCCGGGCCGAACTTGGAGCTCCCTGGGGGGAGGAAACGATTCGTTTTAGAAGCGTGCCGAATTCATAAGGGGTAGGCAAAGGCTGGCAACGCATATCGTATATCATTCGAGCCGGCAGCAGCAACATGCAGCAGGCAGCGCAGCAGAATCAGCGGCAGCAAGCGGGGAGGGGAGGGGATGCGGAGAATGACGCACAGCGAAGAAGCGCACAAGTGGACCCAGCACCGAGGACGGGGACCCAGGCACGCATCAGAGTTTGGGAACACAAGTGGGCCCCGAGGTCTAGCCAGCACTGGCAAAATCAGGACTCAACGATGCAGCATCAGGACTCATTGGTAGAATACATCACGCCCCCGTGCTTGGCACGAAGGGAGGGGCCCTGGTGGAAACGAGTCTTGGACCCAACGCCGGGGGTGGCGCAGGGTGCGCCGCCAGGGGCTCCAACGCCGATTCAAGAAATCCGAACGGACCCCCGACAAATTATTGTTATTTAACATGTTGCTCATCAATGCGAACCTCTAGGACCCGTGCCCTCCAAGATCCCGCTGTTGCGAGCAAGATGTGTATCCATATCCATATCCACTGCGTCTTCGAATTTCGGGCTCCCTATCCCAGAAACCAGAGACGCAATGGATACGGATAAACATCTGGCCCCTACGTAGAGACCAGATCTTGACCCATACCCACTGTGTCTCGGCCTTTTGGCGCCCCTTCCCAGAAAGTCCAAGATGCAACGGATGTCGATTTGAATCTTGCCCGCAACTTTCACCGTAGTGGTCGCACGCCTCTGGCCACCCGCTGGCGTAGCGGCACGCGTTGACCCAGGAGCCGTAGCAAGCCGTGTCCAGCGGCGCCCCCGACGAGCGCATGTCGGCCAGCAGCCGGAAGACCTCGAGAGCATTTTGTTCACTCGCGGTGATCACGGGCGTTATCGGGGAGGGGGGGGGGCTGGGGGCGAGCATGACGTCACGCTCCCCCCACCACCGCCGCGTGGGTCCGACAACAGACTGCGGTGCCGGTCGCACTGCGGCAGTGCCTGGGAGGGGGGGGCGCCAGGAGCGGTACGTTATGGGTGGTGGGGGAGGGGGGGGAGGGGGGCATCACGCCAATTTTGTAGAAACTTGCTCATGGGGGGGCCTTGCCTGACACTTTCTTTTGGGTGACTTGCTCACGGGGGTGATATCGACCTTGATTCGATGGTCCCCACGGGGGGGACATCGACCGTGAGTCGACGGTCCGGGGGACGGAAAGGTAGGCGAAGGCCGACAACAATCCCTGTCAATTCTGAACGGGCTCCCCACCCGCGGAGGTCGCTGCGGGCGCCTGGAACAGAGGTCGCCTAACTTACCAAAAAGTTGTTCCTTCGGTCAACATGTTCGGAAGAAACGCCCGCCGCCTTCTCAGAAGGGGTTGGCGGGAGCGGGCAGGACTGGGCAGACCTGGGAGAGAGTTGCCGCCATCCGCAGACCTGCTGCCAGCGACGATCCCTGGAAGCGTCTCGAACAACCTGCGCGCAAGATGCCTCGCGCAACTCCTCTGTCTGCGACGCGTCGTCCACCAGACCTGGGCACGCGTCCCAGGGCACAGCGCCCCGAGCGATCGCCATCGACTGGGCGTCGGACGTCCGGCTGCGCCCAAGGGAGGACACCGATGTTGTCCACTTGAGCACGATCCGAAATCACAAGACAGCTCGCCGTCTGGGCCTGGCCGCCTGGCGGCCCAGCCTTGACATCGAGCACACGCTGTAGGCACAAACGATCCTCCTGCGCCG